TGATGATTGGCACAAAAATCACAGCTTCCAAGGGTTGACACTTTATCAGCATCCGAATAATAGTGAGCCTGGTGTTAGACTCATTTATTCGAATATTTACAGGGTATTTATACAAATTTATTTACATGGTTTAAATGGCAAAGAACATTTCAGCACTTTACATTTGTGTATGTATTTGCCGTTGACCTAGTTAGTCGCAGTTTGTCGCGGCCTAACTACGTCAGCACAAATGTAGAGGCTTAATTGATACACAACAATAAATATTTTCTTGCTATACCGAGTGTTCCCACACAGGAAAAAGCGAGGCACCATAGACGCAATTTATATAGTAAAGACGGCGATAGAAGAAGAAATAAAAAAAGAAAAAGGGGAGATATTTCTGTTTTTTGCGGACATGTAAGGGGCATTTGATAGAATTGAAAGAAAGAAAATATGGAAAGCAATGGAAGAAAAAGGCACAAATACAAGGTTAAGAAAAAAGTTTGAAGAAATATATGAAGGGACAAAATTTAAAGTGAGAATCAGAGACGAAAAATCAAAAGAAATACACACAAAAAATGAGGTCAGACAAGGCTGCCCTCTGAGCACAGCCGTATTCAATTTAGCTTTCGTTGACTTAGAAGCCACAATGAAAAAAATTCAGACCGGAGGGGTAGTCATAGGGAAGAAAAGTCTGGTCAGTTTCTTACGCCGATAATGTAGTACCTACTTATGGCAAACAACGAAGAAGGAATGATGGAAATGATAGGGAAATTCGGGAAGTACATTGAAAGAATAGGTCTAGAGATGAATACAGATAAATCAAAGATCATGAGAAGCAGAAGAGGCGGTGAAAAGACAAGAAAAATAATATTTAAATGGAATGGTGAACAAATGGTGAAAGAATATAACTACTTAGGATACATCATACAACGAAATAACAGCAACGAAAGACAAATAAGAAACCTGAGAAAAAAAGCTATAGCAGTTGTAGGAAGAGTGTAGAGCATAACCGAGGCAAATTTTAAAGAAAACTGGGAAAAAAGAATGTCCTTATTTGAAGTATTGGTGGAAAGTGTACTGATGTATGGCGCAGAAATATGGGGATGGACAGAATATAAAATGATAGAAGATATTCAAGATAAATACATAAAATGGGTACCGAAGCTAGACCGAACGACACCAGAATACCTGCTGATAATGGAATCAGGAAGAGAAAAGTTAGCAAATAAAACAAGGAAGAGAGCGATAAAATACGAAGAAAAAATCAGGAAAGAAGAAAGCGAACTACTGAAGGAATGCTTGAAGGTGAAAGATAAGTTTTTGGGCAGTACTGAGCAAAGCGAAAAAAGAAAAAGGAAAGGGGTCCGCAGCAGAGAAATGGAAGAAAGAAAGAAGGAGATACGTACAAGAAAAAGGATGGTCGATTAATTTCTACAACCAACTCCATGAAAACAAGAGATATATGGCTGGAAGCAGAGAAAATCGAAAGAGACCAGGAAAAGCTAAGATTGGAAGAAAAACTCAATGCTTCAAAATATGCGATAGAGTATAGGGAGTTATATTCATCGGAAAAACCAGAATACATGAAAGAGGGAGACAAAAAGAAAAAAGAACTAGAAATGTTTGCAAAATTCAGGTTGGGAACAGAAGCGAAAGCAAATAAGTATTGGCTCCCAGATGAGGACAAACTTTGTAGGATATGCAAAAAAGGGAAAACAACACTGAAACACATACTAGAAAAATGCAAATACACGGGAATGGAGCAGGAGAGCTGGGTGCAACAGATCACGAAACCAGGAGCACAAGCGAGGATGTGGAGCATTTTATGGATTAGAAAGAGTAAAGAAAAAGAAACGAATGAACAGCACATCAATCCAGACTAGAAAGAAAGGAGAAAACGACAACATATAAACACACACACACACACACACACACATACACACACACAAACACACAAACACACACACACAAACACACAAACACACACACACAAATACCTAGCAGATAGCCGCCAATTGTACTTATAATTCGATCAAGTCGCTTAGGATGCTCTCACACAAACGTACGCACACTTTACAAACAACACGGGCACACACACAAACAAACAGATACACACACACACACACGCACACAGGCACACACACACGCAAAACACACACGCGCACACACACACACACACAGACAGACACACACACACATATACACGCAAACATTCGCACGCGCGGCGTATTGTTAGTGTACATAAGTACATCAACGGTGTGCAATATTTACTTTTATGTTACCGTTGCACTTAAGACTGTGTGTTTAGTCGGTTGGTTAACACGGCGTTCTAGCAACATAAAAGCTGTTTCGCCTTGGATCGAACCAGAACTCTGTTCAGTTTTTTTGTCGCAACACGGCGGCGAGAGATCTGGTGGCGAGAGGATAAACTGCAGCGAAGATAGCGGAAAATTGAAAGTCACAGACGATAGTAAAAGAGCGAAACCCTGATTGAAAATGACAGCTGTCAAAGATGGTTCACGATGACAGCTGTCAGAGATGGCCAGCGATGACAGATGTCAAAGATGGCCGGCAATGACAGATGTCAAAGATGATTGACCGCCCTGACGTCAGAGTAAGAGTAGAAGGGGTAAAACGGTCGAAAAAGGACGAAAATGAACCTTCATAAGCAAATACATGGGATTTTGAGGCCGAACTGTCATAGTCTATCTACTAACACTGCTGATCGAAAAAACTCCAATCCATCTTCAGCAGTTAACCTTCACATTATATACTGCTACCACGGCCCTCTCGTTTGTGATACTAATTGCACTAATCGCCACACTATGTCTCAAAAGACGGATACGGTCCATTCAGTTCAAGAAAAACCAACCCCAATTAAAACAAGAACTTGATAAGGAACTTAAAGAAATGAAGACATCTCCAGCACCCCTCTACGACCCGTAATCGTTTGAAGACGAGGACATCTTTTACCCTAGGGAAGGAGGAGTTACATCCGGCGATCTTTCTCATTCATTTACACTCCTGGTCTGAACTTCGAGACAGTAACAACAACTTCAGCAGCGATCGTCAGCAACTACTCGAAACGAGAGTTTTTCGCGACAGAAAATAGTCTTTCTTAAGACTAACCTACATCATGGAGCTAGACGAAGGTTTCGAAATCCCGAAGAAGACGAGGAAGATTACCTACGACCAAAGAACAGCCACAAAGATAGCTACGTCCAACAGTTTCAGAGCTCTACAAAGTGAATCTACGGACGGACCTAGGATCCCACCAATAGTAGTTCACTACATCGAAGACTGGAATAAATTACGAAAAAGACTACAACCAAACAACATAAACATCGACAACGTCACGAGTACGAAAAATGGTATCAAGATCCAACCGCGATCCGAAGAAGACAATAGCAAACTGACAGCCTTGTTGGACAGATTGGACTACTATTACTTTACGTATACAAGCGACTGAAACCGCCCGATCAAATACGTAATGAAGGGTATTCCTACTTCACTGTCATGCGAAGACGCCCTAAACGACCTCGAAGGAAATGGGATACGCGACGCAACGGTCCACAGGATGAAAAGCCGGTCGAAAGAGATTCCCCTGGTGTTGATTACTGCGCCCAAGGAAATGGAAGCGAAAGTCAAGGACATCAAGGCTTGCTGCCACTTACGGGTTTCTATAGAGAAATACCGCCAACGCCGACCCACACAATGCCATCGCTGCCAGCGCATTGGACATGTGTTTTTCGAAGATTTCCTCTCCTCCACGAAAACAAAAAAAAAAAAAGAAAAATCATTCATTTAACAGTTTACTCTATAGGTCAAACCCATGTTAGTTTGTTCATTTGCCATCATTGTGTGTAAGGTTCCTGAAAACCGAACCAAATAAATGTGTTAAAACAGTATTTTTAAAAACTCCACTCTAACATCGTACCTACGTTTTAACAGAAATAATTCACATCAACATTATCTATGACAACAAACAAAATTTCCTTATAACCGTCTTAAGAAAATTAAGACATTATTTAATCATCATAATAAACCTAAGAAAATCAGCGTAAACAAAGGTACCGAATTTATTTAAGAATAATAAATAAATAAAGTTTAATAAAATTCAATTCGCCATATTCTTTTTTCTTTCTTCGAGAACTTATTATATGGTTTGTTGGGATTATTCGCGATCAGTAGAAACTTCCAAAATATTGGCCCATGATACATTCTAGAATATTCGATAGAATTCATCAAAATCTTCCTCCTTCTTCTTCAATCCTCTTATATCCCCCTTCTGACACCCAATGTCGCAACTTAAACTGTAAAGGGGGAGTTGGAAACGACTGAGTAGTAACTGTTATCTATGGCAAGTGACTTTGAAATTCGCATAGGTTACATAATTGTAAAATGTTTATTTAGAAAGAAGGGTCAGACTTGAATTTATCTGTACTTTCAACTACGTTCTCCAAAGCGGTGGACTTTTGAACTACCATATATTTAATTTTCTTGTTTTACAGTTTGCAAGCTTGCTATTTAAGATTTCAGAAACACCCCTGTACAATAACATCAAAAATATGACCCATTTCCAAAATCTCACGATTATATCCGACGAATCCAACGATTTCACATGATTTGGTATTGTCTTTGATTTGTGGTTTAGTTAGGTTTAGTCATAGACTATGGTAAAACAGACTTTGCAACTCGGGCTTTCGGGCATATTCGGTAAAGTTCATAGTGACTACTCTTGTATGCTTCCTGAACTCGCGACCATCGACGTTTACTAATGGACATGCCTTAGCGGTCAAAATTGTGGTAAATCAAAAAAAGAGATGGAACGAAGTTTCGGACAATATCCATCTCTTTCACGATAGTGCGTAAGCGTGTCATGAAAGAGATAGCACTAGTCCGAACCACACGCCATCTCCCTCACTTTTCGAACCCAGAAATTATTTCAACTATATACGGCTAAGGCACGTCCATTAATATTCATCTATGGGTTTAGTCCTATTATCTATGGTTTAGTCTGTAATTTGGGACTAGTATAATAAATGGCAATAATCGTAGAATCTAGAATAATTAGTAATTATGACGATTGTGACATAATTATGACTGTAGTTGAAGAATATAAATGATAATGCATAATAATGATAGTGAATATAATTTTAATATAATTCTTCTAGAAAACATTATTTGTAACATAAAAATAATATGATGGGACTGTTGAAATTGGAATAATCAATCTGTACCTATTTGTTCAGAAATTTTCAATTCAGCTACTAATGGACAAGCCTAATGTTTATCATAAAACTGCTCGAGCTGTGCTCACCAGAGATGCATCTCTACAATCAGATGACGGTAGCAGTGTGTGTTCAAGTGTTGAATCAGTTTTAGAACTCAGAAAACCAGATCCAGAGACCGTTCTGTTAGAACTTGGATTTGGACCACCACATTCCATTAATTACTTAACAAGAGTACCTGAGCGGTTTTTACAGCCATCCAAAGTAAGCTGTCTTGCTTATTACATTATGTTACTGTACATAATTCATTTTTCTTTTTTACATTGAAGTTGTTAAAAGATATCGATATCAACAAATTTTTGGAGAAGCAAGGAGAAAAACACATTGCACATTTAAAGTATGTGAGTATTACAATGTTTATTTTAAATCACTTGCTGTATTGTTTTAGAATTACTTCCCCACCTTCTCCACTTAAAAGATAAAATTTCATACTTCCAATTTTTAAAAATCTATTTGCAAATTTAATTAAAAGTGTAACCCTTAAGTATTCAAAATTCAATGTTATTTGTAGTTAGAAATAGTAAATAATGCATTTTATTACCAGATAATTTTTAATATACTGTAATGTTTCATTCTCTCTTACTTAAGTTTAAAAGCAATAAAGGAAGTATCACTTTCAACATAATTTTATGTTGGTAATAGTTGTTTATTAATCAATTTCCACTTATTAGATGCATATATATGCACGAGTATTTTTTATAATCCTTAATGCTGTTTATATTCATCCAAGGCAAGTATAACTGGAGGTGTAATACTTGTGATCAATATTTCCTGTAGCATGTGAATATTGTAATAGTTTTAAGTAATTACGTATACTTTACACCTTTTAAGTTTTAAGGTTTATTGTCCCTCCTACTTGTTCGTAATTAAGATTATTATCATGATGTAGTTATGTGTATTAAACAACTAAATTTTAATAAAGCTTTATTTTATTTAAAAAACTGTAAATGTACCAATATCAGTTACAATAACAACAAGGTTAACTTTTTAAGAAATATACACTCTAAGAATAAAAAATTCGTATTCAGAAAGTAAACTTAATCCTAGATCAATTAATTAAAAGCAACAACGCATTTTTTTGTTGAAAACGCAATTATAACGTTTGAAATTAAAAAAATGGCAAAAATAAATCTTAAATCTTCAATAGTCAAGAATGTTGATAAGAAATTTTCCTCCGCTGATAAATTGTTTTCATAAAATCAATAATAATCCTTGTTAAAGTATATACATATAATATTTAAAGCCTTTTCTGCAAAATAAATATTTTGGTGAAAACAATCGTGTCACCGTTTTTAACATATTCTTAAAATTATTATTTTTTTTCTAAATTTACATTTACTTCATGAATAGTATCTATGATTTCTTTTTCTGCAGTTACTTCACTTTTGGAATGACTATTTTTATCCAATCTATCACTGTCATTACTTTCTTCTGATAATACACTTTTTTTATCGATATTATTGTCGGGTGGTACACCAATCACATCTGTCCTTTCTAATTGGTCTGACTTTATTTCTGTGGTACTTTGTATTTTAGTTGTATGTTCTATCGCATTATTTTCTTTTTGATATGTGTTGTTTTCATTTCTTCCATTTAAAAGAATTAATACTTCTTGTTCTACTTTTTTAATTTCATTATCTGTAGGTGAAGAAGGGATACTCTGAAGATATTCTTCTATTTTCTCTTTGCTTGTTTCTTTGTTGGTTTCATTTTCCATGTACAATATATCCTTTTCAGTAAAAGTTTTACTTATTTCATTTTCTGTTTTCAGACTTATATGATTCATTGTATTTTCACTTATTAACATTTTTTTATTTAGAACATCTTCGTCAATTATATTATTTAATATACTGGAAACAACTTCAGCAGTCTCATTATTGTGTAAAATATTATTTTCCGTGATCATGTTATTCGTTTCTCTATCCTCTAAAATATGAGATTCATCAAACTGTACTTTTTCATTGGGTATTTGTATTTCACTGATATTTTCATTTTTCGGTAAATCACTAGTTTCAGATTGTAGATGATCATTGATTGTACTCATTTCGAGTATCGTTTCTTGAGGATGATCAAGAATTTTCATAACTTCCGAACAAATGTCGTTAATAATGTCTTTTGCCAAACACTCTCCTACTACAAGTCTTTTCGGGCTGCTTATAAGTGATCCCAAAGGAGCACAGTTTAATTCGGTTCTAATGTCTTTACCATCCAAATACAACCTTACCATACCATTAGTTACAAATTCTATTTGGAACGTTGTCTTGCCTGTAAAAAAAATTATTATAATTAAGTACTATAACAATTAATACTTGTTTGTACCTCCGTTTACAAGAATTGAAAGTTTTTCAGACGATTCGTCACTCCACCTATGACCAGGAAGAAGTTCCAGTCTGCATTTTATTGCCAGCGGTGCAGTTTCAGAAATTCTTTCATCAAGTTGCCTAATATGTGCAGTCTCACAAATGTTTCCATAATCAATGAATCGCACTACATACACTACTTCGTTTTCAAATTGCTTAATTTCCAATATTTCTGCTCGGTACCAGACTTGATCTTCGGGAAATTGAGCTGCTACCAATTCTGTATTTTCTTCGGTCTTTTTGTTAAAAACTTCCCAATTCAAAGCATTTGCCATGGTTTCAATAATATAGTCTAGTTTGGGAACATCTTCTGCTTTCTGAATCCAAAATTCTTCGACGGATTCAAAGTGAGATATGAAGCCTTCCGCTGTTTCTGGTAATAGTTTTTCAGTAATACTCTGATTATCAAGGAATAAATCTACTATTGAAGTTTCATCGGCGGTGATTTTGTGAACGTTAAAAATAGTAGCACCGTCTGCCGACAGTTCCCTAAATTTTTCTGTGGCTTGCGGAGACCATTGTAGTGTTCCAACAGGTTTGTTTAAACTACACTTTATAGCCAACGGAGGCAATAAAATGAGATCTTCCGGTAGTTGACGTAAACCACTGCAAGTGCATGAATTGCCATAATCGATGAATATCACTTCCAGTCCTGCGACAGTGTTCGATAATATTCGAGCTCTGTACCACATTTCGTCCTCAGGAAACAAAGCTGCACAAAGCGATCCGGGAGCGATATCTTCGAGTTCAGCAAAATTCTCGGCCGTTGATAATTGCTCTGCAATCCACTCTAAATCACCAACCGAATTTTCCAATTGAATCCAAAACTCTGATGGAGAATTGAGATGACTTACGTAACCAGTAGAACTACTATCTGTTTCTAAAACCAACTCTCTGACCAATCCTTCCATTAATAATTTTTCGGAAACTTTTTCTCCGCCTGAATAAAGTTCCACGTACGTTGACTTCTCGTTCTGATGGATAATTTTCATCATGAGATTTTCGGTTTTAACAAGCTGGTCGAAGCGGTTGAGAGAAGCTTGCGTCCATTCTTCATCCTCAATGGGTTGTATGCACAGACTACATCTTTGTGCATACTGTTCTAAAGTGAGAAGATCCGGTGGTAACATTTTTAGTTTTGTAGTTTTATTATCAAGAACATCGGTGTTACCATAATCTATAAATCGTACCGAAGTAATGTCAGCATCAGCGTCTAAAATCTGGCATCGGTACCAGATTCCATCGACAGAATATTGGGCTGCACATAGAATTCCTGCAGTTGGGTTTTCTAAATCTTGCAGAAGTGATATCTGTTCTTGAAGAATATTTTGTAAGCTTTCGATTTGATCAAGAGCAGTCAACAGCTGCAAATAAAATTCTCCTGGGGAATCAGAGTGACTCAATAAAACAGGTACTCCTTCATATTGGTGCTCTTCCTGCTCATCTGATGATAAAGAAGAGATAATCTTTCCCTCCCATCCGCAATCTCCATACCAAACCTTAGCATACACTTCATTTTCAGGTAATTTCTGTAATGGTTCAGTCAAACAAATCTGCAAAATAAATTAATTTTAAATTTTATTACTATATTAACCTTTTCATTAGTGGATTAGTCATACTTTTAAAGCTAACATGTGCAATTCCGAATGTTCGAATGCCAATTCTCTGACTTCAGATTGGCTTACAGATTCAGAATTACCGTAATCAACATATATGACGGTTATCTTATCGTCTTCTATTGCTGTTACTTGACCACGGTACCAGTTACCATCGTCTGAGTGAACAGCTAATATAAAACCTTCCTGAATTTGCAATGATTCATCGGGAACGGTGTTATCATAACTATGGAACATCGAATCTAATAGCTGTGTTATCGTATCGCCAAAATCGGATGGTTGAATAAATATACTACTTTCGGTAAAATGGGACACCCAACAGGCAATAGTGGAATTAAAAACGGGCATAGGACATAAAAACGATATCCATTCTAAAGTTCCTTCATCCGGTTCGACAAGCTTCAGTTTGTTTCCAGTTGTATCATAAATGACTACTTCGAGTTTGCTAAAAAAATGTTTGTTACCATTTAATTTTTTTAAAATTTAACATTGTAGCTTATTACCACTATTACTAAAATAATTCGAAAATAATTTATTTTTATACAGGTCCCGAAATGCAAGACTATCCCACAAACTCTAAGTCATACGATGGAGAATAAAATTTTTATCACTTCATGATGCACGTTTTATTGAAAAATTGAGTCGTTTTGTGTTATATTTAACTAAAAATTTCATAAAAATAAAATGGTACTAGGTGCCTATTAAATATTCAAATCACTTCAAGTCATTCCTGATTAATATATTCACGAGAATTGTACTAGTCACCGAGGTTAATGTTTCACATCATTGGCAAATACTGCAACACTCGCTTTTTTTTTCAATAACACAAACGATCGACTTATTATACAAAAATGGAATCTTACTTGTCATCTGATGTACTTGTGACGTGAACAATTACTGTATAGCCAACCACCTGTTTTAATGTATCATTCCAAGTTTTTTCCGCAGTAAAACTGTTACAAAGACAACAATTGACTTCTTGACCATTGGGAAGAATGATAAAAAAATCTTGTACGGTGTTTACAGCTGATAATGTGACTCTTATTTGTTGATTAAAAAGTAGACAAAGATCTGTGTCGGTAGAATATTTCACTTTAAAAACTTCTACGTCCTTTTCTGGAGACTTCGCTAAAGAAGCCGAGATAAGTAGTTCTGAGATGTTTTCGCAATTATCATAAAGTTCAACAACGTACCTATTTTCAGTAATAAAAAAAAACTGTAACTAACCGCATATTATTTTGCTTTGTTCCGACTTACTTTCCTTGGTTAAACCCAGTAAAATTACACGAATAATGTTCTTTATTGAAGTATGAAGAGAATGCATCGGGTTCCGGCCACGTTTTTTCTACGGGTAACAGAGCTAATCCGCAACAAATAGCTTGTGCAGGCATTTCCATGAATTTTCTTTCTATAGGCCAAATTTTTTCAGTTATCGCCACATTACCAAAATCCACATATTGCACTTTCCATTGCGAACCAATACTTTCAATAATTTGTGCCCTATATACGACTCCGTCTTCAGGGAACAATGCTATAACTGGTGAACTAATGGATAAATCTATTGAACTCGGATAGCGATTTTGATAGCTCTCTTGAATATCTTCCATCATTTTCTTAAATTCCTCCTTTAAGTTAAAAATAAATGCATTATGAATAAAACCATAAAATAGCAAAATTGAGTAAAGCATCTTAGAAGGAGAAACTAAGTGGCTTGACTTTGCCTTAGAAGTATTATGTGGATTGATTTTGATTTTAATTGATGGGAGTCAATTTTAATTTAATTTTATGTATTCACTGCTAAACAGTAATGCTTACCAAAAAAATATATGCCAGTAGTAAAATAGAGTACATGTAAAATCAACTTTGTAGGTTTTATTAGAGCACTGATGAAAAGAATTTGTGAAACTATTAAAGAAATTACGATTTTAATTTTGTTTGCATAATAATTAACAGATTATTAAAAAGAAACAATTTATTTTAGTTAGTTTGTTAGTTAATTAATTCACTTTAATGCTTGAAAACCCTACAAAAATTCTTCTAAAACTTCTCATTGTTAATACATTGGTTCGACGATTTTGTGACCTTCGTAGTTAGGCAAGATCGTCGTTGTTGCTACTGTCACCTCTCGTAGTTTATTGGTAGAGTAATGGTGCGTAAAGCCAGGAACCCGGATTTGATTCCCAACGAGAGCGTGACAGTAACAATTTTTCCTCATTAGTTTAAGGTTATCTATAGTCGTAAAAATTAATTCACTTTAATGTATTCAAAACCTTACAAAAATTCTTCGAAAAGTTCTCTTGGTTAGTTACCTTACAATTTTGAAGTTGGCAAAAAAAATTGGTAGGATTATAAAACCAACATATGGAAATAACTTCGGTTGTATCTTGTAGATTTAAAAACTTGAAAGAAGCATTAGCAGGTGCTAAATCTAAAGGCTTGACAGTTTTTTCTTCCCGCGGTAATTGTTTAATTTGGGAATTTAAAGTTGCCTCTTTATTAGATCCTTTTTTATTATCGCTGTTACTTTTTCCCTTATTTCTGAAATTTACTTGTGGCCTGCTGCGCCAGTTCTTCTCAGATGTATCGGAGAAGCTTTTATCGCTGCCACTAAACCATTAGGCAAATAAAAAACCAATTAGATACAATACAATAAAATAATGTCAATTATATATTTTTTAATTTGTAACATAAAAAGGAATTTTTATATTTTATTTAAAACTCCAGAATTTCACAAAAATATATTCTAATACAAATATTTAACAAAATAAAAATAAAATGGAAAACAAACCAACTCTGCAAGAAGTAAAAGTAGACCAAAACAAAATTTTGCAATGGCCAAAATAAAAAATAAAAAAGAAAGCAGAACTATTCTATAAACATAAAAACTTTAGAGAAGCTCATGTAGCCTGTTCATTATAAAAAAACTTACCTAATTCCCTTAGACTTGCCAGATTTAGTTTCTTTTTCCTTTTTCTTCCATTTATCTCTAATATAACTCAAATCAGTAAAAACTACTTTTTTAAAATCTGACAAAAACAAATCAAAACTACGAGAATTACCTGTGTACTTCATTATTCCAATCCTTTCTGTAAGGAGTAATTACGAAATAAAAAATGTCTTTTCACAGAAATATTTGTCGGACGCAATGATCTGAATTTCGAAATAAAATTGAAAATTGTATTGACGATAGGTAACTCGCGTACGAACACGATGTTTTATACACATATATATTCGATTAAAGCATGGTAGGTGTTCGCATTTGAGACTACATTTAAATTTCAAGTGTAAATTTGTAAATAATATAAGTTTAAACAACAGGACAGGACAGACGTTCAAAATTTGAGTAATTATTTTGACCGTCTGAAGGTGACCAAATTAAGAAATAATAATAGTTGGAGTTTTAATATTAAAAATAGCCAAACCAGCAATTGCTTAGAAAAATCGGCTGACATATAAAATACATAGTTATATTTTAAAGAAAAAGAAAAATAATACCTGTGGCCCTTATCCTGATTATTCCAATTATTATTCGAGTTGTTACTTTCCTTACTCCTATGAAGTTTATTTCTCTCAAATGACTCCGTATCACCCCATTTATCATTTTTAGGACTATCTCTATAAAAATAATATAAACATGACAATAAAATTTTTCCATCATCAAAGCGTCATTAGTCCAAAAAAACAATTAGCATAGAGAAAAAAAATAAAAAAATTAGTACTGCCTACATACATAACATTTTAGTTCCTGAACTCATCTGTGTCGACTTTGTTTTAATTGCAATAAAATTTATCTACTATTTTATCAACTTAAAATAGCTTTTGCCACTTATAAATTTATAGGACAAAACTACACATAGTGTGATCAACTATTATATAAGTATCTAATTAACTCTTATAATAAGTATCAGGAATGATATTATCCCTGAAATAGTTTCTGCTTTGAGTCGCGATTGTGGCAAAATATTATTAATTAAACGGCAAAACCGTACATAACTTTTTACAAAAGTAAAGGGTTCGTTATCGAAAGCGATCATTTTGGCTATTAAATAGTGGTATCTCTTCTTCCGCGAATCACTAACATCCCACGGTCTTTTGTTTCACCTCTTTAAAGGTATTTGATTTGAGGCATTACTTATTTGCATCTGACGGGGCTCAAATTCAGAATCCTTGGTATTAAAAACATTAGATGTGCAAAAAAACTTCGTTATACTGCACCTTATATTTAAATAACGGATGTTTTTTCATGGACGATGCGATTATAGCTTTTCTTTTTTCATCTGCGCGTAAAATTTCGGCTTCACACAAAATGCACTTCGTGTTTTTTCAGCCACCCTCAAAATGCTTCCTAACGTTACACTTTCTTGTAAACATGATTTAAAATAAAATTCCAGGAATTAAATTCGTAAACGTATTACAACCAATAATAGTAAAATGTTTTCGTTCTAGCTCGCTTTTTATTAAATATTAAATACCACCCTCATGAACGTAACGTCCAGACCCGCTGTAAACAAGCGTGCAAGGTGTGCACCGCAAATTCCCATTATGGTATAGTTTTTGTAGTTGCTATTTAAAAATATACTTATAATTTTAGAAAAAATGACAGACTGGAGTTATTACAGCTATACCAATTCGGTTGTTAAGTTATTGTTAGGTAGTAGGTAGATGAAAAATTGCCGTTTTGAAATCTTACACCAACAGTTATGCATGTGAACAGACTGTGGTCAGCGAATTAGCCCACGCACCGATATGCTTAACGTAGTGTTTTTTAGTATGTATAAATACATTGTTTCGATTTTATTGTTTAATTATTATTACAGTTGACGCGCATGGCATACTGGTGTTTTAATAATTCAAACGTTCCAATTAATATTATGTAATTTCCGCACATCATGTGTTGTTACTGCTATAATTGAATGTGTATTTTTTTTTTCAAGAAAAAGCTAGTTTTGAATTTAGCTCTTTTTTAAAACTGGAAATCGTACACGGAACGTTTAACAGGCGCAGTCAGAAGGATGTGTGAAGGAAAAGTGCGGAAAACAAGTGACTTTTGGAAAATTATCAGTTAAAAGTGCAAAATTGGGATCCAGATTTCGTGCCGAAATACTGTAAAAGTTCGCTGAAATCCGAATCCGACATCCACAAAGGCTCGCAGGACACCCCACAAGGCTCAAGTCCATCACCCTAGACATTAAAGTCTGTAGTAAACGAATACGGCAGCAGTCAAAAATCGACTGCAGCGAAAGTCCAAAAAGTCTGCAGGGATAATCCTGGAAAAGAAGAGAAGTCAACTACCGCAGCAAATCACCAAAAAGTCTGGAGTGACAATCCTGGAAAAAGGAGACGTCAGGTACCACAGCACCTTCACAAGAAAAATCATCTCCAGCACAAATCACAAATCAAAGGTAGGTCAAGAAAATCGTATTTTTGCAAGTGTAAATAAGTGCAAGTTTTATTCTAGCCAGTGTGGAGTAGTAGCTTAATCTACATGAGCTGGATAAGAATATGTAAGTATTTATTTTTTCCTTCGAATAATAAACTCTGAACTAATTATGCTCAGTAAACTAAAGATTAAAATTTCATGACGAATCCAGTAAATAGAGTAGAGATCATAGATTTGGAAACTCTAAATAGGTCATTAAACTCGATTAGATTAGACGATTTTATCCCCGAAAATAGGTGTAATAATATTAGTAATCCAGCAGTAAACCGTTACCGAACAGTTAATTAACGCAGCGAAAAACTATGGAGAATTTTTACCCAAGTTTAATGGTTTATAACAAAAATTAATAGCTATTACGACAAATATAGCACCAACGACCAGACTTTAATAGAGATTTTGTAGCTTACAGTTCCGACCTAGTTAGTTGGCCAATTCTTAAGTCCACGTTAAAGAATAGATTTGGAGATTTTACAGATAAGAAAATTTTGGCACACCTATTTAAAATTTTAAGAATTAAACTACACAAGTCTTTAAGTGTATTTATACAGAGAGTTAAGAATTCACAAACTAAAGTAGATGTTAAGATAACACAGGATGAGTTATTACCAGATCAGTAAAATGAAATTCATAAAGTACATAATTAGTGAGTAAACAGCATTAGTCGTATTGTACAACAATTGTCCTCTAAGTTACAAATCACATTGGAAGACCACGAAACATTGACACAAACTACAGCAACTGTTTTAAATTACATTACCTAACAATCCTTCATTAAGTAAACTTACACAACCTAAACCAAATAATAACCCTAGTAGATTGCCAAATTTACCAAGATCGCCCAATTTACCGAACAAAACAAATCCATTTATTCGATATGACAGACAACAGTCAAATTTTTATGCAAAACCATCAATTGGCGTTAATAATGCAAATATTGAATAAGAAGAATTGAAAGCTCAGCGAAAGTAAAATTAAATAGCATTAACAATAATACATCACAAAATAGAGCTCCTAATTATCAGAACAATTCTAATTCGCAGGTCAGAAATACTAACAATTATCAAACATCAGCATTCAGAAAGTGGCGAAATCCGAATGTAATTTTACAAAGATAGCGCAGGTTAGTAGTAATAACTTCGTACAATAGGATTACAATAGCGATAGACGAATGTAGTGTTTCAACTGATGAGAATGTTTTAAATAGTGACAGCGATTTAGCACAAGAGAATGAATGAGGAGATTACCAAAATTTTGAGTTGTCTTGCGAAGATGTAGATTTTTCATCTCACGATCAATCTATGAAGAACATAGAAAATTTTCGGCAACATGCCTCGGAACAAAATTAAGAAGTAACAGCAGTTCATTACCTAATACAGGGTAATGAATAATAGATAGTCCACCTTTGAAAATATTAATTGACACAAGCGCAACATATTAGTTAATTAATACGAAACCCGTAATGATTATTTTCTAGAATTCAGGCAAAACGAAAACTTTGTTCATAAAACCATAACTTTGGAAACAATTCATAACCAGCCAGTCAATATAGACATAATTCAGGAAAATCAATTCTTAAAATTCTTCATTGTAGATTTCCACGCACTATTCGACGCATTATTAGGTTCACAGTGCCTAGAACAAATGGCATCATCTATTAATTATCAGACAGGCAAAATTGCTTTAAACGACGAAATATACCCATTATATAGATGTTAGAATCAACCGATCCAAAATAAAATTAGGAAGGAACATTTTCGATACCTATCAAGACAGGAACAGTTTTAGTACCAATACAAAAGATAGGACACCTATTGATACCAGAGACAGTAACCATCGCAAATAATTACCATTGCGAAGTACCTTTTGTAGGCAATAATTTTAATTTAGATAACAATTACCGATAAAATACCACAAATGGCGCGGTAAACTCCATCTGTAGTACAGTGCTACATTTTAGGATTAGGTATTCTCAACAAGGTCCATTTAAATACATGGATATCTACTTGCTGAAAGCAAATCCCGGCGTAGCTCATCACTACGTGATAGGCACGTTACCATAATCGAATAAAATAATTCGAAATGGTCTGTGTTCTGTCGAAACTGCCAGACGCGGATCGCAATTTCGATCTTGTTGGATCTCATCAGCGCGTCGCAGACAGTTTCGACAGAACACAGACCAATTTACCTTATAAAACGTGCTGTTGAGATAGCAGGTAAAAGTGGTCTATGTTCTGTCGAAACTGCCTGGGATGCGCTGGTGAGACCCAACAAGGTCAAAATTGCGATCCGCGTCTGGCAGTTTCGACAGAACACAGACCATTCCAATTATTTTTTTAAAAATTACCGAATTAAAGCACGGACGTTCAACCCTAACGAAATTGACTTATGTAAAGTACAACGCGACACAAGTAGTAATCATAATAACACCGGATCATCAGCGGTTAATTTAGACCATCATCAGGGCAAATACAAGTATAACATTGAAAAATTATGTAACCAGTTTAGACACATATTTTATAAGGAAGGCGATGTATTGACATTCACCAGTTCGAGTAAGCATTCAATGCCTTTAAACGATGACACCCCAATTTTATCAAAACCGTACACACTCCCCCATATTCAAAAATTAGAGATTGAAGAACAGAAGGAAGAACTTAAGCGCAAACCATAATAACAGAGAGCAGTTCACCATACAGTTCATAAATATTTTTAGTTCCAAAGAAAGCAGACAAAAGTGGCAATAAATCATGGCATTTAGTTGTAGATTTCAGAATATTAAACAGTAAAACGATTGAGGATAAATATCCTATCCCCAGCATAGTTTCTATTTTAGATTTGTGATTCCAACTACTTTTCTAAAATTGATCTTAAAGGTGGATATCATCGGATAGAGATTAAACCAAAAGATCAGTATAAAACAGCGTTTTCAACCGACCAAGGTCATTGGCACTTTTTGCGAATGCCTTTTGGATTAAGAAATGCACCCGCATGTTTCGTGCGTGTTATGAATAATGTTTTAAAATGATTAATAAAGAAAGTCTGTTTAGTATACTTGGACGATATCGTCATTTTAGGCAAAAGTTTGGAAGAACACCTCCGAAATTAGTATTTGAAAGATTAGAAGAGCATAAATTTAAAATAGTCAGAGAAATCCGAGCTCTGTATGAAAAAAATT